CGCAGCACACATCTGAATATTTGGGTTGAAGTGTTCTGGAACAGTGCTGTAAATACAACTTAACCACTGATTTCTAGTCGTGTCCTCTTTTGGAAGGCCAAACAAAGTAGTTTCGCTTTCGCAACGAAACACACAGAGTCTTCACAACATGGCGGCGGCGGTAGCAGCAACAATAAAGTTACACCTTCTTTCTTTGCGTGAACATTTGGGCGGCGTTATGCAAATCTTCCCACATAGTGACGTAGACGTGGAGGTGTGTTTAAATGAGGCGTTTTAGGAGGGCGTGGACGTGGAACTCTTAAGTCTTAACTTTTATAAAAATATCTCTTTGGGTTTGAGACTTTAGTCTTTGCAACTTTAGGGATCTTATCTATTCAAAGAAAAAGGAAAACTTGAAATCGCATCATATGACCCCCTTTAAATACTTATATAACTGATTTTAAAAAGGCGGACCGCATCCGCACCCCGGCATCCATCCGGACCGCGAGCTGTAGCAGCACCACTTTTAAGTGAGCAGCGCGTCAAAACAGCGGAGCTGATCACATAACAAGCATTCAGGGTCGTTTATGGTAAATATCTTTCAGCCTCTAGTATTTTTATCTAAAGCCAAACGCGCTTTATTTAAGCCCTTTCAGCTCCGTGCGCTTTCTCTCTCTCCGGACACATGCCGGCGCCAAGTTCAAGAGCTGCGGATGATGCGGTTATTTTAACAACAACAGAAAAACGGTGAGCAGCAAAATTATAGATTACTTTCACTAAAACACAGCAGAAAAAAACAATGCTACAAATATAGTTATTTTTCTTACTATATGTCTATAACCTATGACTCTGACTAGCTATTCAAACCAGATGTGACAAAACATTATTCTGACATGTAGCATTTATTAATCTGTAGGCTAAGAACATTTAAAAAAAAATATCTAGGCCTAATTATAATTGGGAAAATTGTTTACATGGCTAGGATGGAATTTAAACTTTGAAACTGTTAGTTATCTTTTGATTATTGTTTTGATTATTGTAGCTACATTGTTTTAGTAGGCTAAATACTGCTTTTAAGTAAAATCTTAAAATAGTATATATTTCAGGAGGATAACCCTGAAAATAAACAGTTGTTTTTTTTGTCACATGACCTCACATGTATTACATGTATTTTTTGTCCGGACCTTTGCTTGGAAGAAAATATAGAGGCCGTGCCTCTTGGAACTTTTACCCCTGACTTATATGATAAAGAAATACTTTATTTGTATGGTTTTGTAATATCTGTGTCAAATATTTCCTTATGTGTCATGGTAGATCGGACTCTTATTATAGAATTTGATTACAGAAAACTGTTTTGAACATGGTAATGGATTAAAACATATAAGTAACATGCTGGATGTACATTAACCTTACATCTTAACACCTCTTTTTTTTTTTTACAAAGCAGATCATAGATCATATATTTTGTCTATAGCCTACAAAACAGCTTCATAAATAGGAAGATTTCAATACATGAGGATTCTGAATGGGATTTTTTAGCGAGCCATTAAATGATTTGAGGCTCGACTCGGACTCGTGACCAAAGACTCGAGACTTGACTCAGACTCCAGGTTAAAGACTTGTGAACATTTCTGAGCTAGATAATGTTGCCTTGGTGACATTTAAACCAACATAATTTGCATCCGAACATTTGATTTATAACAAAAGAAGAAAAGTGTGAAGTGGCTATACTGGAACATTTCATTTACACAAAAACCAAAAACCTAAACTTAACTAAAACTTTAACACTATTCTTTTGTTGCTCAAAATCATTTGTTGCTCAAAGTATTTCTTGCAGGAAAGTCAAACCTTGTTCAAACATTTGTGATGAGTAGTTTAATTTTAGGTTGATTATAATAGTTTCATATCCATTCACATTAATAACTCTTTTTTTTTTTACACAGGAAGTCATCTCAGATGGGCCTCTGAAGTGTGTGTGATGTGCTCTGATTATTAATTTATTCTCTCATTACTTTAATATCACCCCCTTCTTTCTCTGCAGATATTGTTGGTACGGCCCGTCCCGATGAGAAGGCCATCATGACCTACGTTTCTAGCTTCTACCATGCCTTCTCTGGGGCGCAGAAGGTATCGCAGGGCACCCCTCTTAATGTCATGAACTTCTACACTTACCCAATATGTCCCTCCCCTCACTCCGTTTCTGCTCACTGGGTTTTGTGATCACCAGTAGCAGTGATTACTGGTTGTCGTGGTTTCCTGTTACCGTGACTACTCTCTAACAGTCTGCCTCTCTCTGACTCTTTGCAGTGCTAAGCACCGTCCCTCAGGGCTCATGCTTCTCCTACAGTTGCATGAATCTCTCCACCTGTTGCATAAAGGAAAGGAAGTCTTGTGATGAAGGCATGAGTGTGTCTCCACTCCAGTCTCCTAAAAAATACTCAAACATTCCTGGCATCAATGAGACTTCCTGGAGATCTCTTCATGCCTTGTATCATTTCTGTAGAACTGTGCCCCGTTTGCCTTTGTGTCTATGCAGTCTTATACTCTGTGCTTTTTCTCTCCTTTCCTCTCCACCTCCTTTTCTCTCTCTGTTCCTGCTCCCTCTTTCCCTGGGCAGATATCGTTAGTACGTTGCGTCCCGATGAAAAGGCCATCATGACGTATGTGTCATGTTACTACCACGCCTTCTCAGGCAAACAGAAGGTGAGCGCAGACTGACATCAGCCAATCAAGACACAAGCTTCCACATCACAAACCCAGTCAAATCTAGACAGCCAATCAGATCTCTGCTTTCATCAGAACCCCAAATAACTGTGCCAAAGAAGAAATGTAAGAGATGTGTTCTTCACTAACCTGAACGCCTTTTTGAAAAAGAGGAGACTTTCCTTACCTTACTTTTCCTTACTTTTAAAAAGAGTACTTATTACGGAAATAATATACTTTAAAAAGAAAATTCTTAAGTGTAAACTGAATGTAATGTTTTCAAACACTTAATTGCATGTTATTTGCAATTAAATGAAAATTATTTACATTTTACATTCATATTAAATGCAATTTGATGCAAAGAGTGGTTTTTGACCCACTTAAGTAGGAGTTAAGTACATCTTAATATGTAATTTCATAAGTACTTCTATTGATTTTCTTTGAAATATGGTGAAAGTGTTCTGCTGTATGTGCTGACAAGCATTTATGGTAAACTAAAATATACTTTAATGTAATTTCTATTGAAACTTCAACAGATGTTAAGATGCAACTAAAGTGCAGTTTTTAAAATTGTATTTAAGTGTGTTCAGAAACATTCTCTTTAAGTACACTTAAGTGGCCTTTTATTTCATTAATATTGCAAGTATATTGCTATCTGTAAGTACAGTTAAAAAATACTTTTAAGATTTGGTGTGCACATTAAATATAATTAAGCACGCTTCTTTTCCACAAGGGAAATTGTGGTAAGGTCAGTCTTGAATGATGTCACTTACAGGTCAAGATCGCACCTGCTCTTTTGATGATGTCACAGCCTGTCTGCTCTGAAACTTCATTGTGATTTCTTACTCATTTCTTGTTTGACTGTGATATTTCTTTCTTTCTTTTCTGGGTTTTGTGTCAGTTTTGGCTGTTTCCATGGCAACTCTGCTGTAGTATTACATAACACACCTAGCTGTTTCTCCACACATCTGTATGCACACACAGAGCTCTGGTATAGAAACCATCAAACTTCTTTACATATCAAAATACATGTTGACGATCACGTCCAACTAAAACTCAGCAGCAGGCTTCACTAGGACAGTCGGGTCATTCCTACTCAAATTACTTTTATTGTTCATAATTCATTGTGTGTTAGTGTGTTAGAGTTGGTCCAGAAAATAAGTTTAAAATCAATGGCCATTTCCACAGCAGTGAATCAGCTTAGACAAACTCTTGAACCTAAAGCCAAAGAAGCCACATCATAAGCAGCATATACGACAAAATAATGTTTACACTTTTTAATGCAGCATAAATGTATTTGCACATAGACTGATGTATTTGAATCAGTTCAGATAGACTCCATATCCCTTTAAAAAGTAATAGTTCATTCAGAGATAGCATGTTTCTCACTGATAGTGTGAAAGTTACTACTTCATTGTGCCGATTCATCACATCCAGCTGGGTTTCCTCAACTCTGTGTGAGTGTTTCTGAGCTGATGACTAACATCCCTCGATAAATAGTTTTCTACATGCTGGGTGTGTGTTCTCTGCACACACAGATCCTGTCTGCTCTTATAAGGCAGGAGTCTGACTGTAAACCCACCAGACAGTTCTGCATCAGAAAAACTTCCTCTGACACACTCACATCCACACCCATGTACGATTGTTGTGTGCAATATTAGGCTTTTTCTAAATAACTCAGTGTCATCATGGTCTAGTAACTTTTTTCTTGATATGTGAACCCTATGTTTAATTCATAATAATAATAAAAATATGTACCATATTTAAAACCTTCTCTTTTTCTCTCTCTACCTCCTTTATCTCATTCTGTCTGCTCCTAACTTTTTCCAATTTGTTTTATCCTCTTTTTTTCCCCTGTTTTTGTTGATTCTCCCTATTTTTTTTTCTGTCTGTCACTTGCTCTCTTCAGCTTCTGGAGTGGATTCGCAGAACAATCCCATGGTTGGAGAACCGTGTCCCAGAGAACACCATGCAGGCCATGCAGCAGAAGTTGGAGGATTTCCGGGACTACCGACGACTTCACAAACCACCCAAAGTTCAGGAGAAATGTCAACTGGAGATCAACTTCAACACACTGCAGACCAAACTCCGCCTCAGCAACCGGCCTGCGTTCATGCCCTCAGAGGGGAAGATGGTCTCGGTGAGAACCTAACACACTTACAACCTAAGTATCTCAGAGCATTCAACTCTCTTAATTGGATCTGTGATGTTCAATTAATCGTCTGTGTGTGTAGGATATCTCCAGTGCTTGGGGAAGTCTCGAGGGAGCAGAGAAGGGTTATGAAGAGTGGTTACTGAATGAGATTCGCAGACTGGAGAGACTCGACCATCTTGCAGAGAAATTCCGTCAGAAAGCCGCCATCCATGAGGCCTGGACTGACGGTAACACTTCTTTTTATTTGTTTATAAGAATTGAATTCCTCTCTACAGCATGGCTGATCTTTGCTGCTCCCTGTAGGTAAGGAGGAGATGCTGCAGCAGAAAGACTATGAGACGGCATCCCTCTCGGACATCAAAGCTTTGCTGAAGAAGCACGAGGCGTTTGAGAGTGACCTTGCAGCTCATCAGGACAGAGTGGAACAGATCGCTGCCATCGCACAGGAGCTCAAGTGAGTAAACGCACGGAAAGATCAGGGACCCGTTCTTCGTAAGTTGCTTATTACATCCGAGATGAAATGTCACATCCAAGATGATATCATCGCACTAATTAGGATCTGGCTAATTGGGTTCTTCGAACACACCTGTTGTTGATGATTAGTATGGCTGGATTGAGTTATCTGAGATAATTGCGCGTTCTTGGGTTGTTTTAAAAGGGGCTATGCATCGATGCTCGAAACCACGATCAGCAATGCAGCGATTGGCTGGCGGCAAGACAGCAACGTAATGACATCATATAATTACAAAAGACACCTGACGAAGAACTTGACAAATGTTTTGACTTTTATAAGGAAACAGCCAAGCAAACAAAACTACATAAATGTTATAATAGAAAAATGAAATGTGTATTTTATTTACATTTTTTACATGATTCCCAATTATTTATATTCACGATTTCTAATATTTGTACAGGCTTTACATTTTTATTATAATGAAGTAATTAGCAATTCATTTAATTTTATATTTGAACAGATTTGTTACGTGACAGCATTAATTAAAGTTTCTTAAGGGTCAAGATCATGTTATCTGCCTCTCCTGTGCTCCAGCCACTCCCAAAATATCTGTCATCACTCAAATTAATGCATGACTCTACATTATCTGTATAGCATGTGTGTAAGACTCAAATACAATTATAAAGTAATAATTTTATGACGAATAAATCTTTCAGTGAGTAAAACTGGCTGTGTCTTTAGTATTAAAGACTACACAACATTATCATATTATCTTTAAATTCATTTTTAAATTATTATTATTTTAAATTATTGTCCCTGGATTAGTAGGGTACTCTTGTAATAAAGTAGCGGTGGTAGCGGACCGATTTTAAGTATCAATTCTGCTTAAAAAGATGCAATCTAATCCTGTTTACATGAAATAAGCCTGCTCCCGAGCAGGTTTAAGCTTACGGACCTGTTGCTATGACAGCAACTCCGGGATGAGCTTCAAAGAACCAAACAATCCAAGATCATGTCAAATCATCAACAATCAAATCCAGCTAACTGAGTTAGTGACCTATGAAGAACGGGCCCCTGGCCCAGACGCTGCTTCATACTGCTTCAAGTTTAAATGTTTTGGTCTAGAACATTTCATCTGTAGCTTACACATTCTGTAATCTTTTGGTGAAGTAGTTTCACTCTCATTCTCTCTCTAGTGAGTTGGAGTACTATGACTCTCCCAGTGTAAATGCTCGCTGTCAGCAGATCTGTGATCAGTGGGACTCACTGGGGGTTTTAACTCAGAAACGGAGCGAGGCCTTGCAGGTAAAACACTTCTATCATACACCCGTATGGAATTAATTCTTTCTATTCTGACCCGCAGGAAAGGGCAGTGTTGCTTCTTTGGTGACATACTGTGATACAGTGTGTGTGTGATTTTGTGCTGTAAGTGCAGTGCACTCATATGTGTGTCTTGGCTCTATCTCTTCCCTCAGAGGACTGAGAAACTGTTGGAAACGATTGATCAGCTGTACCTGGAGTTTGCCAAAAGGGCGGCGCCCTTTAACAACTGGATGGAGGGAGCCATGGAAGACCTGCAGGACACTTTTATCGTCCACACCATTGAGGAGATACAGGTATTGCACATTCATCTTTCATCCATACATTCATTTATTCATCTCCCTTTTCATTTATTCATGCAATATATATCTGTTGATCTGTCTTCACAGTTGTTCCCTCATTTGGGCCCTATGAAAATGCCATTTATTATATATTTTTTAAGCAATATCACACAATATACATTTTTTGTCCATGTTTTAATTTAAACTGTAAACCTCTGTTATGCAGCACTTTGTTTACCAAGAAATTAAAGGAAGTATTCTAATTTTATTTTATTACTGTTTAAAAGATTAATTAGTTTTATGCATTAATTTGACCAGTTTTTGATAGTAAATGTCTATTAAATCATAAAACACAGAATCCAGAAAAATTAAGACTGGAAACACAGAATTTCGGAAAAATAATACTAGTCCCATATTTCATAGGACTATTATTACATTTGTAATAAATTATTAAATTGTTAGTTTTATGAGTTCAATTGATTAGACATTCTTTTTAATTATAAAAATTTAAGTAAACCATTAAAATGAAATCCAGAAAAGTTAAAAAGGGACAACACAGAATTATTCTATCTTTCTGTCCATCCGTCCATCCATCCATGCATCTATCCATTTGGTGGATTTCAAATGTGACTGTGAAGTGTTCTGATGCATTTCACATAAAAGTTGATATAAGAGTGAAAATTGAAAAGTTGCAGAGGGGGATTGTTTTGGAAAGTTGTAGCACCTCTCTTTGTGTGTGTGTGTGTGTGTGTGTGTGTGTGTGTGTATCAGGGACTCAGCACAGCCCATGAGCAGTTTAAAGCCACACTGCCCGAGGCAGATAAGGAACGTCAGGCAATCTTGGGCATCCATAATGAAATTGCTAAAATTGTGCAGACATATCACGTCAACATGGCTGGCACCAACCCCTACACCACCATCAACCCTCAGGAGATCAATGCCAAATGGGATAAGGTAAGAAAATAAACTTGTGCAGGACAATCAGAGTTTTCATACAAATATATGACATGTTATATATATATATATATATATAGAAAATGTGTACAATGAGAGGTGCTTAATTCACCTCCACACTGCTACTCCTCCACAATCTTCCTTTCTCTCTGTCCTCTCAGGTGAGACAGTTAGTACCCCAGAGAGATCAGGCCCTGATAGAAGAACACGCTCGTCAGCAGAATAATGAGAGACTGCGCAGACAGTTTGCTAATCAGGCAAATGTCATTGGGCCTTGGATCCAAACCAAGATGGAGGTGGGACATGAGCTCAACTAACAGAAAATTAATTACATTCTATTATGGTACTTCAGACAACTTCTGTGAAAAAAAAGATGTCAAAAATGTCCTTGGTGATTAGCTTACATACATGATGACACACGCAAATTTGTTTGATTTACATACAACACCATTTAAAAGTTTGGGGTCAGTAGGATTTTTTATTTTTTTTGGAAGGAAATTAATACTTTTATTCAGCAAGGATGCATTCAATTGAACAAAAGTGACAGTAAAGACATTTATGTCACAAATAGTTTCAGTTAATCAAATAAATGCGGTTCTTTAAAATTTTCTATTCATCAAAGAATCCTGAAATATTAATGTTTAATATATGTCTTTGGTAAATAGGATATATTATAGGTCAACTAACCATTTGGAGCAAAGTAGACAGGACTTTCTAAAAAAAATGCTATGGGAAGTTAAACAAAAAAAATAACCTTACATAAGTAGGGCTTGTTAAAATATTACTAGCCCTACTTTGTACTTGCCCACATTAAAATTTGTCATATGTTAACAATCATCTTAGAGGACAAAATGCATCAGATACTGCTAAATTTGCTCTGAAAACCATTTGGGTGGCTGCAGAAAAAAATTGCAGAAATTCAGGAAGGACTGTGGTTGGTCTCTTATTTTATTTTATTTTTTAATGTTCTGTACTTAGGAAATTGGCCGAATCTCTATTGAGATGCACGGGACCCTGGAGGATCAGCTGACCCACCTTCGGCAGTATGAGAAGAGCATTGTAAACTACAAACCAAAGATCGACCAGCTAGAGGGAGACCATCAACTAATACAGGAAGCACTTATATTTGACAACAAACACACTAACTACACCATGGAGGTATATACACACATAAAATCTCAAATGCTTACTTGCAAACCCCCTTGTGCATTGATATGTTCCTGATGTCTCTTTTCTTCCTCTAGCACATCCGTGTAGGTTGGGAGCAGCTCCTCACCACCATCGCTCGCACCATCAACGAGATCGAGAACCAGATTCTGACCCGTGATGCCAAAGGCATCAGCCAGGACCAAATGAATGAGTTCAGAGCCTCGTTCAACCACTTCGATAGAGTCAGTATCACACCGTGCAGTCCAACACCACAGTTTAACATCATTAAGAGCAGTAGGACTTCTGAGACCGTTACTCGGTGACATCATTTGGGTGGGAACAAGAGAATTGCATAACTTTTTGTTAAAGACATTTAATTTTTTAATTTTGTGATTGGCTGCTGTGACATTTTGTGCGGTACCATTCCGGCTTTAAAGTTTAAAGGCCCTTCACACAGAGGATGATAAAGATAAAGCTGTAGTTTTAAAAATGGTTCTACATGTAAAAGAATAGCAGAGTCCACACCACAACTTAAAAGTAACGGCACAGAGGAATGATATTGTTTGAATAATTTTCAAAATTACTTTTTTTCTAGCTGATGAACGATAAAAACATTGAATCAGTATTCCAATCAGTAATCATCCTTCTTTAAAGAGCTTGACATTTAAAGCTGCAGACAACAAAATTGTAGCGCTTGCTTATATTAAACACAATGTTATTGTGCTTTGGTGTGGGCACTAATATAGTTACAGCTATTGTTCTTGGTGTGAACAAGAAGAATTTGCTTCCTTTTAGTTTATATGAACTGAATTGGTCATGGGCCATAGGAAGTACATTTGGAATGACAGAACGTAGAATTTACTAAATTTAAATTCAAAGAAATTCAGCAGGAAATGTCATTCCAGGAAAACAAATGTTTTTCCATCCTGGTCCAAGTCTGTAAGGCCTAAAAAACCTTGAAACTTTAAGCCTTTTTTTTTACTTTTAGATAAGACCTACAAAGATTATCTTGCCAAACTTAACTGTTTCTTGTTAAAACTACAATTTCAAATCATGTTAATTCTACCTCCTTTAAATTCGAATTTCAATTCCACTTCATTTTTGCTACCCTAAATAATATTAAACTCAGTAATTGAATTTTAATTTTAAATAATTTTAATTCTAAGTTGCGCGCAAGCCTGGTACCTTGCGGTTCCTGTCCTGTTTAAGTACTCGACTTACAACAGCCAAAATGCACAAATATCTGAGTTTTTACTTTCATAACAATGCGTTTGTATAATTGACCTGATTTGCATAGAATGGAATTATGGTATATGTCACCCACACAAGTCCCAGATTACAGGCTGCCATGTTGAAACCCAACGCTGCACTAAAAACCCACACAGTGCCACCCATGACACCTTAAAGGATTAGTTCACTTCCAGAGCAAACATTTCCTGATAATTTACTCACCCCCATGTCACCCAAGATATTCATGTCTTTCTGTCTTCAGTCGCAAAGAAATTGAGGTTTTTGAGGAAAACATTCCAGGATTAATGGACTTCAATGGTGGCCAACAGGTTGAAGGTCAAATTGCAGTGTCAATGCAGCTTCAAAGGGCTCTACATGATCCCAGCCAAGGAATAAGGGTCTTATCTAGGGCTGAACGATTAATTGCATTTGCGAAAATGCATATATGAGAAAACGCGATTTTTCGATCGCAGAGGCTGCGATTACACTCGGTCACGTGACACGCGAGAGTGACGAGGTGTGTTCCACTTGAAAGTACGGCGAGAGAAAGCATAAGGAGATGTCCCTGCTCTTATAGCTCTCTCAGTACTTTGATGACACACACCCATCGGTCTAAGCAGCACTACTTCAAGTCGAGCGCAGGCCATCAGCAGAAAAAGAAAATAAATAAAACAGTAAACAGCCAAAGGACGTAACTTAGAATGGGAGATGGATCGGTTTGTGAAAGGGAAGAGAAAAGTCATAGATGAAGTCGCACAGACCCAGGCAGGTGCTGGTCATTTAAAAGCTAAATGCAGAAAATATGACGAGGCATATCTTGCTCTCGGCTTCACTCACCGTGTCTATACCGGACGCCGCAACAGCTCTACACTGATGCGACAAAGCGACCGTTGCAAATCATTTTAACGTTGTGTCAGTACGTCATAAATAGAACAAGGCATCAGTTTAATGTCTGGTTTTGTCTTGTCGCGCCGCGCCGCGCCGCGCCGCGTCCAGTGTACACAGCGTCACTGATTATAATGGTTTCTACCAGGGATGCTGAGGGGGCTGCAGCACCCCCTGTTTTCACATGGTTGCAAATGCAACGCCAGGTTTGTTCATTTAAATTGATTCAGTTTTAGCATTTAATAATTTATTTGTAATGATCTCTGAAATGTAAATTGTACGTGGGCTATAATAAACCCATGTTTATCTTTATAAACATGATTAATTTTACTTGGGATGTTTTCTATATGGGATGATTAGCCTAATCCTCATGAAGTCACGAAACCCACAAAAAATAAATAAATAACAGAGAGAGAATAATAATAATAAGTTATTCTCTCTATGCTATTTTTCAATGTTTCAAGTGATGCAGGTGCTTTTTTTCCCTGTAGGTTTTTTTTTTATTAAAAAAGCATTACTTTTTCATAATGTTTAATGAAATTATTTGGTAATCTGAGGTGGAATGGGGATTCGGGAAAGGGGGCAGATTTTTTTTATAGGTTTAGAGGGGGGTGCAACCACAAAAATTTGGGAACCACTGGTCTAAAGTTAACAGACAGTGTTTAGTGCAGTGCACATGTTTACATATGTTTATTACAGTGACTTTGAATTACCTTAAGTAGTGTGGTAAAGCAACAGATTTGTTTTTATATTTCTGCAATCTACTTTAGTTTGTGTGATTTGTTACTGACTTTCATATTAATGTTTACACCAGGCTATTTAAACATAATTATTACATGCTTACAAGGTTGGAAGTTCAACAAATCAGTCAATATACTGTGATTGTAGTTGTTAAATAAAAACGTAATTCATATCAATTCATGCATCACCTAATTTCATCGTAACATATAGGCCTGGGTTACAGAAAAGAACATTTAGGTTTAATCTGTCTAATAGTGTGTTGGTCATACTATACAATGATTTATAGCTTGTCTTTGTTGAATAATACAGAACATAAAGAGCTTTAAAAAATAATTGCATATTAAATCGCAATCGCAATATTGGTAAAAAAAAAATCGCAATTAGAATATTTTCCAAAATCGTTCAGCTCTAGTCTTATCTAACGAAACGATCGGTCATTTTCTAAAAAAAAAAAAAAAAAAAGCTTTTTAACCACAAATGCACGTCTTGCACTAGCTCTGCAATGCACGTCCGCAAAGTCACGCATAGCATAATCACGTTGGAAAGGTCACACACGGTTAGCTCTTCGTCTGTGTTCACAGGTTCAAAAAGGTTGGGTTGGGCAAAAAACTCCATCTAATTTTCTCCTCCAACTTCAAAAACGTCCGACATTATTGTTTTACCTTTTTTTGTAGGGGCGTTTTACTTTCTTTGCCCGTTCACTTTGCAAACACTGGGTCGGGGCTTCCGCCTACATCATGTGTGACCTTTCCAGTGTGACTACGTAATGCATGAAGTCGAGCTAGTGCAAGACGAGCATTTGTGATAAAAAAATACACATTTATATACTTTTTAAAGAAAACAACCGATCGTTTCGCTAGATAAGACCCTTATTCCTCGGCTGGGATCGTGTAGATCCCTTTGAAATGGCAATTTGACCGTCAGCCCGTTGGCCACCATTGAAGTCATGGAGAAAAAAGTTTTTTTTTCCTCAAAAAGCTTAATTTCTTTGCGACTGAAGAAAGAAATCATCAGGAAATGTTCATTCTGGAAGTGAACTAATCCTTTAAAATCGTTAAAACAACACAACATAGTTAACCGAGCATAACAGGCCCAGATTTTGAGCAGATCTGTCCTCACAATCACTCTGTGCCCTCACTCACGGCACAGTACTGCACAGTTTGTCCTAATGTTTGTGCACTTTTCTCTTCTTTTGTCTTGTTTTTCACTTCTGCATGGACCCTCTTCTACCCTTCCACATGTCTGCATGACATTCCCCCACCCCTCCCACGTGTGTGCTGCATGTCCACGCTGCTGACCTCTGACCCTGCCCACGGCTCTGACACCCAGGACCACTCGGGCAAACTGGGCGCTGAGGAGTTCAAAGCCTGCCTTATCAGTCTGGGCTTCGATATCGGGAACGACGCACAGGTACACACGCACCAACACCAGTCAGGGAGTTCAATCATTAACCACACTCTTTTTGTTTTGTTTTTTCCTTTCTACTCTCTTTTCCTTTCTCCTTTCACTCGGTCTCATTTTCCCTCAAACCTTCCTCTAAAATGACTTCCTTCGCCTATTCCTACCTTCATCTTTCTCTCCACTACTACCTGGTTCTGTTTGTCCCTGGTGGGTTCCTGTAGAAGAGAACAGGCATGATGGATGCAGAAGACTTCCGAGCCTGCCTCATCTCCATGGGTTATAATATGGTAAAGCAGAGAGTTCAAATCTCCATGGGTTGTGATCAGGTTAAACTGAGAGTTGTAGTACCCATGGATAATGAACTGGTAACTCATATAATCTGAATGTGTTGTAATATGGATAAACTGATAGTTATAATCCCTCTGGATTAAACTGGAAAATCAGAGATTTATGATCAACATGAGGTATAATATGGTTAAGCAGTTTTAACAGATTTTGTGGGGTTATATCTATGTGGGTTATTATTTTAGTAAGTATTTCTGGAAAAAGTAGCATGAACTGTTAAAGAAATCCATGGATTATAGTCAAGTTATAATCCTTATTGAATATAACTAAACAGAAGTTATAATAGAGATTTATATCTACTAAATGGTATATAACCTGGAAAAAGAGATTTATAATCAACATTGGGTGTCCATCTTATTTTGAATGTAAGAGATGGTGCAGCCATTTTTAACTTGAGATGGCAAGGCTTCTGGTTTCAGCCACTTCCAGTTATTTTAGCTGTACAAAAAACAGTCCGTTATGCTGCTTGATGGAGCAAACTGGTATAGGTTGCCATATTATTTGAATTGATTTGCCTAATCATAAACACACTGGTTTGTTGCACAAATAGTTTTACCGTTTACTGCACTTTGTTATTCTAGTTATTTATCTACAGCGACTAATAAATCGTAAGTCTCACAGGTTCACAGCAAATAGCTGACTTCCACATTGAAAAATAAGGTGGCTAAAAAGCAGAAAGTTAGAATCTCAATGTAATATTTGATAAGGTGGAGTTTCTGAACTCTAGATTAGTCTGGTCTATGTGGTTTGATCTATGTAGTTCAGTGTTATTTTAGTATAATTTATATTCTGTTAAAATATTTATTAATGTTTTAAATTAGCTAATATTTTTCCATTTTCATTTTTTATTATTTTTTTATATATATAGTTTTTTTCTAAAAAGTTTAGTTTGAGATATTTTAATACTTCAGCTTACTTCAGTTAGTTGCCAAGGCAACATTTTTAATTTATAAAAAAAAAATTTCATCAAGTATTTATATTTTATTTTACTTCCCGCAAATGATTTTGTAATAGTTTAGTTAACAGTAACAACACTAATGTGAGACTGAGAAATTTTCTTAAGTATTCTTGGAAAAAAACAAAAAACAAACATATCATCAGCTATGCTAACCCAGTGAGGAGCAATCTTTCATATTGTTTTCGTAGTGATTTTTAAGAAGCGTTTCTCTGTTCTGTAGGGAGAGGCTGAATTTGCCCGCATCATGAGCATTGTGGATCCTAACAGACTGGGAGTGATCACATTCCAGGCCTTCATTGACTTTATGTCTCGTGAGACGGCCGACACAGACACTGCTGATCAGGTCATGACATCCTTTAAAGTCCTTGCTGGAGACAAGGTACATATACACAATCCAGAAATCACTTCCCAGTGTTAAAGTGTCTAAATGAATAACTAAATGAAAAACCCTCTCCTCATGCAGAACTATATCCTGGCGGATGAGCTGAGGCGTGAGCTCCCCCCTGACCAGGCCGAGTACTGCATCGCCCGAATGACGCCTTACACTGGCCCCGACGCCGTCCCGGGAGCTCTTGACTACATGTCCTTCTCCACTGCCCTCTATGGGGAGAGTGACCTCTGAACCGTGACCCCCGCATCTGGGGTCAACCTGCCTTCTGATACAAACACACAAATATGCGTATTCATACACACACACATAGCTCGCGCACAATGAGAGTAAAAGTGGCTCTTCAGTGCTGATCTAGCACCAACAAGCAGAGCTGGTCCCAGATCAGCCCATCAGAGCAGCTTCCATCAGCACCACTCAATGACGTTCGGTCATTTTTGTATCCTCCTATCAGCCCTTCCTGTGTGTCATATACAACTTCCTGTTCTTTCTCCAGCTGTGCTCATGAAGCCTATCTTGCCTGTCTTGGGGATTGTGTCACAAAGATGCTTCCTTCACATGCTTGTCAGAAGATCCTACTTCCCACTGAAGTCGTAATTATGAGTTTGTCACATTGAAGGAGAGAATAGGAAATCCTGAGACTCTTTTCTCCATGTAAATGTACAATATGCAACAAACGGTTACAAATATACTGTACGTAAAGCACGTGGTAGGCAGCATCATGTCATCCTTGTGACCTCTGACCCATGTGATACTGCATGACCATGTGCTACGATTGATCCGCTTTTTTTACATAGAGTTAATGCTTGTTGATGAGACTGTTTTTTGAACGTTTTCTTGTGATGGTGAGTCAGACTTCATGAACAGATCTTCCCCTTTCTGCTTCCAAGTGCAACATTGAAAAACTCCCTCCCAGGAGGAATGTTTTCTGTATTTTTACTTCTTATTTTGTTTGTTTGTTTTTTCCTCTTCATAAAGGAATAAAGTTAACATATTTTACTATACAAAACAAAAAAAGGTATTTTTCTTCACCTTATTAAAAAACTTTAAAAATTATGAAAATTTAAATAAAGAAACAATCACTGTTGTATGTTTGTGTTTTTAATTGCGTGTGTGAAGGAGAAATGTGTTCTATTTACTTAAGATAATGATTTATTTTAATGTAGAAAGGAAAGGGATATAATTAGGAACATGTTTATAACTAATTTGAACATTTATTAATTTTATTCACTCTTAAAGTATGAATATTTAAATTAAATTTGCTGTATATTACCTAAAGAAACAGGAAAGTGTAGAAGAGCATAAGAAATCCTATATTTTCAGATAATGTACATAATTTATTTCACTTGGCTGTTGATAAAATACATTGATTAGAGATATTGATGTGCTATATTGGCTTTGTGTGTTCTTTGACCTGTGACATACTAACAAACACCATGAAAATAATTTAGTTGTCTAAGTAAAAGGAAAAGATTATTTATTTATTTCACCTGCTTCGATTGTGACAGCATTTTTTCCATCTTAGATGGCCTCACAGGAAAAGAGCATTATGTAGAAGTTTAGAGAGTACATCGGTGTATGCTAGATGGTCTCCAAGCTAACCGTTTTTTACTAAAAGCCACAAAACTCTTGTGTTGATTTCTTGAGTTTTATTGTGTTTTCTGGTTTGATGTTCCTTGCTAAATTTATTTAGAAATTTGATTTCTATGACAAAGATCTAGTTAAAGTATAAGTTAACTTAATAATTGATTTTCAAGCTCTAGACTAGAGTTTATAACTCTAATATAAAGTTAAGATATCTATTTGTTCGTTTATAATTTAACTAAACTAACCCTGAAAATGTGCTTTTAGTTGTAATTCTCACACACAGTAATGTAATATCTATCCCTCATTTTTAAAGTGGAACCAGTGACTCCTTTCTTAGTTCTACACGGACGCAATATGAGGCTGTACGATGTCGCCGCTGAGCCATGTTGAATCATGTCCTACTGACTTCATTCTGAATAATGTGCAATTGTAGAATGACATACTTGATCTAAACATGTGGAATCAAGTTCGTAAACTCCAAAAGAACAGGACAGTGAAATATGGCATCCCGATGCTGGTGAGCGCTTTAAAATGTGTTTGTATGCAGGATGAGCGGTTATTCATTATCGTCAAGTGTTTATAATTACCATTTAAAAAGTTGTGTAACACACGCCTTAGTAATAATTAGACCGAAATCATGGTTTAAATGATCATAATAATATTTATTGTCATTTACTGTAATAATAAATCTAACTGTTGTTTAATTGACGGTCAACTGTTAATTTTGAAAATTGAGTGTGATGCAATTTTTGTCCAATATTAGTAATATTTAATGAAGGTGTTTTTATACGCAGTAATATGAAAATATTATGTAAATCAAGTCATTGATGCCTTAACAATGTAAAAATAAATACAAATATAGGATAGAGAGTGACAAGAAAGATTATATTCTCAGATAATTCAGTTCTAGGTTCCAGATTTTGACACGCGTTGTTTGTTTTTTTTAATTATTATTATTGTTGATATTGATGATATCACACTTTTTCAATGTGCAATATATTTTACAAGTTCTCTTTTTTTATGTTAAACACTGTTGTCAACTTTCTGCTTTTGTAAATCAATAATTTAGCCTGCTCATAATAAGAATATTTCTGCTCATATAATGTTTGTTTGAAGCTGCTGATTGTGGGAGGGTCGTTTGGATTGAGAGAATTCACTCAGATTAGATATGATGCACAGAAGATAAAAAAGAAGGTATGTAAAACTTAATAGACTAAAATATAACATCATATAATCTTTTCATGTACAGGCCAAGTGACACTGACAGAACTTCAGCCAGAACCCATTTATGCTGTACAATAAAACATTATCATAGTTGATCTATTATCTTTTTTTTTTTGCGTGTTTCTTTTAGCTGGACCCAGCACTGGAAGCACGGGTGAAAAATAAAAAACAGTCGACCATCCTTCAGGAAGAGTATGAGGTAATGAGAGAATGAGTGATGAATAGATGGAGAATCTGTGTGTGTACTAATGGTTTATAGTGCTATAATGTTTTATAGAGCCATCTGCTATTTTGCTGTGGATTGGAAGTTACATTTACTTGCTAGTGAGGTTGTGGTAGCCTAATGGTTAAGCATCTGGCTTGTTAAATGCAGTCAGTGCAGTTTTGAACCTGACACAGGGTGACTCAGGAACCGTAATCGTAATTTTGTTATGCAGTTTGTCAAGCAGGACACGTAACACTAGGTTTCTCCAGGGAGACTGACTGACTCGGCAATTAACGCGCTGTAAGTTATTTTGTACAGAAAGTGTCTAGTTAGCTGTTTAGTCTTAACTAAGTGCACTGGATGGCAATTGTTTTATTTAGCATCTCCATTTCAGGCTGTGGGTGGTTGCGGCTGTCCACAGCACAGCAAAAACAGACCGTCATTATACTGCAATGGTGATTCTCTTTGACTTTAAAAACTTTATTTTTAGCCTTACTGCCGTTATAAGAAGTTACAATGCCATTAAATCTGACCTTCTAGATAGTAGTAGAAGAGTGGCCTCAAGTGGAACCAGGGAAATTTAGTCATTATAAACCACTTTACAGCTGTTCATTAGATGATGAATATTAACTCGGTCATGCTTCATCCTAATTGTTTTATTTTAGATCTTACATTGACCCACCATGAATCATAAAAGAAATAAACGCCCTGCTCTAGCTGACTCTTTGTTGGTAACATAAGTACACTTCTGTTTGGAGTCATGAAAACGTAATTCAAGTTGATCAAAAGTAACAGCAAAGACATTTGTAACATTACAAAAGATTTAGATTTTAAATAAATGCTGTTCTTTTGAACTTGTAGTCTTCAAAGATTCTGAAAAAAGCTATCATGGTTTTCACACAAATATTGAACAGCATAACTGATTTCAACATTCATAATAATAAGAAATGTTTCAGATCAGCATATTAGAATGATTTCTGAAGGATCATGCGACACTGAAGACTGGAGTATTGACTACTGAAAATTCAGCGTTGCCACCACAGGAATAAATTAAGTTTCGAAATATATTCGAATAGAAGTGTTATTTTAATTTGTAATAATATTTCACAACACGACTATTTTTACTGTATTTATGATCAAATAAATGCGCATTTGGTCTGCATAAAATACTTTTTTCAGCAACATTTTTTAACATTAGCGTATGTGCCATAGCATTCAGGCCATTTATTAAATTAGCGACAACTTGATTAGACCGTTCAATGCATTTTCTATAAATTTTTTTGTAGCTTTTGAGATCTGGCATTTGCCATTAAATTGCTGTGTGTGTGTGTTTGATTGTGCATTTGATTCGTGGCTTTGAAAAAAGATTCATTTAATATAATGTAATCTCTTTTGTTTCTATAGAAAGTGAAGGATTTGGACTTGGATGGATGGAAGAACATTCGTGGCCCACGTCCCTGGGAGGATTCAAAGGAGCAGCAGCAAGCTCAACTCAATAAAGGCACATAGAACTCTAAAACCTTAAACTCCCACTGCTGGTCCAAAGATGTAAGACACTCATAAAAACAGTGCAGTGTATGGTTGTCACCATATAATAAATTAGCACATCATATGTTGTTATTATTATGTATAGATGAGGAACTACCAGTTTGGATTCTATTGGCATATGGAATGCCACTTTGTTGTCATTTTTGGAAATATGTGTCCTAATACACTTTTATATATGTGTATAGCATTATCTCTCTGTCCAGTGTCTTTGATGCTCCCACTTTTTTTTATAGAATCAGTAAAGTTGTAACCCTTATTCAATCAGTGTTACCATGGTAGTTTGCATTCACAGTAATGCATAACTCAAGACCCAGTGCTGTATTTGATTGAGTAAAACCCCTTGTTCTTTCAGTGGTGCAAACAGAATCAATGGTGCCTGTGCACATGCTGGGTGAATGATACAGTGTAAAGGCAGTAGGCATGAATGACCTTCTGTGCACCTACATACTGCTTGGTGTACACCTCATTCCAGCAGGCATGTCATGGATTGTGTAGGATATGATGATCAGCAGTTTGGACATTATTGTTTTCTCTGCAACAATCTCCAGAAGGTCCAGATCCTGCTTTCTTGATGAGCTTATTTAGGTCGTTGGTCTCTAGCGGTGTCTCTCGGGGTTCGTGAGTTGATGAAAAGCTAATAATTAAATTGAATACAAAATATAAATAAATGTGGCTGCACAATTAATAATAATAATAAATCTGAATTTGCAATTCTAGCTTAGTGTGATCATGAAATCAAAGGCTAAAATGTATTCAGCGCCTCAATTCACACCAAATGCTGCTTCTCACAAACTCCATCTCTGTATGTTCAGTGAGCTTAATGTGCATCTTAATGTGGAACTCAATGTGTGCTAGGTTCAGTTTTACACATTCGCACAATTTCCAACATTTCTGTGGATAGAACTTTACATCATTTCACTCGTTTTCTGCCAAAGTAAAAGCTTGAAGATATTAACGTTTGACAGTTAAGAATTTAAGACATAAATCTTAGTATTGTAACTTGTAAAAAATTATATATATTAGACCTTTAATTATCAAATATTAATTTTATTATTTTACAGGACAAATGTAATTTAAAACCATAATGTATTTGTCTTCATTTTTGTAAATGGACTTTAAAACAATCACTTGCAAGCCATGTGCACCATTAACCAACATCAGAGAACCATGAACATGTAAATGGGCCTTCTTGTGCATTGCTACTGTGTTTTTAGTCCATTAAAGTCTGTTGTAAATGTGAATCCCTACGTATCTGAATGAATGAATCTATCTCCATGTCTCAGCCATGGTCCATTTACCTCTTGAAGTTGATTACCAGTTTCTTTTCACATTAATTTGCGAGAAAACAGGTTTGGAAATGTGCTTATTTTTACAGTTCCGTTTGGTACTACAAGTTGTATGGAAATTACTCTTTCAATTTTAACAATATTTATGCCAATAGTCATATCTATTGTAGCTT